TGCTATCCTCGATTTTTATAAGCGCTAGTTTCCGCCGAAAATGGAGCATTGCTGCCATATTTGTTGCCGGGAGCTGCCCAGTCCTAACTTTCCGGTTTTGACAGAGCTCAAAATCGTCCCATGATCATAAGCGACTATATACAGGAGCACCTATAAAACTTGATGTTAAGAGATTGGTAGCTGACCTCTCTTCCAGTCTAGCGCTACCTTCCCAGTGGAGAAAAACTGGCTGGTTACATTCAATGCCTCAAAAAGCAAACTAGTTACAATCCGTCATCGAACTACGGCCATTCACGATAAACCGATGTCCCATCGAGGAGGCAACCTTGGGAGAATATTGACTGACCTCGTGTGGAACTCGTACATACGATCCATCGTTAAAGATGCAGGTGAAATGTTCGGCTCCCCGTACATAGAACCATCCTTACATCCAATGCTTAGCCACTCAGACAAGGTTGAATAGTGCCTGTCAGAAAGCGTATATTTTTCTGTAATAAGATTTCTTGGCCGGTAGACGAAAATAAATACATACACTGCTTAAGAAATAAATGGAACGTCTACTCAAATACGAGTATCCACTAAAAATTACGGTTAAAGTGACAACATTTGTTGGAGTAATTACTAAAAATCCATTACTTCTTTAGAAAATTGCTTTGTTTACGCTTAGATGCGAAACTGCGCAGATATGAAAGTTTCGAGAATTCATGACGAGAGGAATTTCGCTTAAAGGCAGTATTTAAACGTTGCTAGACGGGCTAAGTTCTCGTTTTAGAGCGCGTTGGATTTATAAGAGGTTCCCTCTGCTCAATGTTGACGCAGGTTCGAATCCGACCAGAGAGCAAATATTAGTCTTTAATAAGATTTCTTGAATATTTAGGCCGGTAGACGAAAATAAATAAATATACTGTTTAATATATAAACAGAACGTCTACTCAAATATGGGTATCCACTAAAAATAATGTTTAAGTTGACGCAGGTTCGAATCCGACCAGAGAGCAAATATTCGTCTTTAATAAGATTTCTCGAATATTCAAGCCAGTAGACGAAAATAAATAAATATACTGTTTCATAAATAGACTCAAATACTAATATCCACGAAAAATAAAGATTAAGCTAAAAATCCATTACTTCTTTCGGAAATTGCTTTGTTTACGTTTGGAGACGAAACTGAGTAGATATGAAAATTTAAGGTAGTTTATGACTGAAGTAATTTCCCTTAAATGCATTATTCAACCTTGTCTGATCGGCTAATAAGAAAGGATAAAGGAGTTTTTGATTTTAAATTAAATTTTTTAATCCTTCTTGGTTAACATTTTTTTGGCTTCAACGGGAAATTATTTTATGGGAAATTTTAACGTCTTTTTGCGCTGAAAAAAACATTGGTTTGGAAATTCAATATTTGTAGGATTTTAATATGACTTTCTGAAAATTATTCACAAATGAATGTAGTTATTTTAGAAACTAGTCTTTTTTAGAAAATCTTGGTAAAAACCTTCTCCTACTCACACTTTTATGAAATTTCGATAAATTCAATTTTTGCACCGTTTATTATTTAAAAGCAGAATTCATTGGAAAATTTAAATCATCAATTTTTTTTTAATTTATTCTATTTTATTTTTTTGTTTGCCAAACTGTATTTTTATCCCCAGTTACAGAATCGCTCTGAATTGTTAAATAAAAATTGCAATAAAACTAAGACGTTATTTAATTCCGTCGTATGACGATAAAATAAATCCAGCAGCAAGGCCTCTCATTGAATGGTTTTGAGGAGCGTGGAACCAACTCTTAGTTATTGTTTTTTCCAGGTCGAACCTGACCTGGGGTGGTGGCACCTATTAGGGTCCCGGCTATGGTCAAATAGTTAACCCCCCAAACTAGGGTTAAAACATTATAAAAATACATTTTTATAGTAAAAATATTAGCAGTATATTCTAATAGAAAAGAAATTTAGAAGCTATACATTTCTGAAAAAATGAAAATAGCAAAGCTCAGAAGAAAATTAAATTTCGGCATTAAATATCCCATAAGCTAATATATCGCCAAACAAAGCAACAAAAAAAAAACAAAAAAAAACAAACAAACAAACAAAAAACAAACAAACCAATATTTAATTACAAAAGATTTTAATTGCTTTTATTAATAATATATATTAGTGACACTATTGTCTTAAGAAAATTTATTCTTGATGAATAATAAATTTTTACAAGAATTATTTTCACTTTTTAAAATTTTAATTAGAATAATTTAAGTTTTAAATCTTTGATCATTCCGTATAAATTTGTAACGGCTGTTATTGATTAAAATTAAGTCCAACTACCTAAAATTCTATGAAATATTAGATTACTTATTAGTTAAAAAATATGATATAAGAAAGGCGCTCACGTTATATTCGTCAAGAAGTTATTATATGTCTCTATATTTCTGAGATGAGGGATTGTAAATATTTACATTATTTACATTGTTCGGATTTCTGTCCTCATCTTTACTGTCATATTCACGACGTTTCGCCCGTTGTACGATCCGGCCTTCTTCAGGATCTCTCTATATTTCTGAGATGAGGTATTGTAATTATTTACATTATTTACATTGTTCGGACTGTTGACCTCGTGTTTCGGTGGTTGTACGTGAATATGGCAATAAAGATGAAGACAACAGTCTGAAAAATATAAATTATGTAAATTATTGTTACAGGTTCTCTCCGACTTAGAAATCATTCCCAAATATAAGTCAATCGAGAGCGTGGTCAATACCTGATAAAAACACTCACATCAAAATACTTTTCTGTGTTATTTTAAACTAAAAGTAAGAAATATTTGTTGCAAATCATATTAATCAAATTTAATTCAGCTAATCTTCCTCCAAATGAAGTTTCAGAAAAGTATTTTTTTTAATTTTGAAATATTTTTTTCATAATGAGAATTACGTTGTGTTGACAGATTTGTCAATATGGTCGATTTTCGCGTTTTTAATGGTAATAAGAATACTCATTCCAATCAATTCAAATTCGTTTCGAAAGACACTAAAATATTTTGCTCATTGGAAATATTAAATTTAATTTACTAGCTCGAAATTAAAACTAAAATAAAAGCTTCAAGAATGATTGTTGATTTTTAAAAATCATTTTTAAAATTAGGTATCGCTCTTCTTTGAAGATATCTATCTATCTATCTATCTATCTATCTATATATATATATATATATGTGTGTGTGTGTGTGTGTGTATATATATATATATATATATATATATATATATATATGGAAGGAGAGAGAGCGAGAGACAGACATAGAGAAGAAAAAGCGAAGAAAGATACATAAATAGAAGGACAGAAAGAAAGAAAGAAAGAAAGAAAGAAAAGAGAGAGAGAAAGAAAGAAAGAAAGAGAGGAAAAGAGACATAGGTGGGTAAAGTTTTAACATAAAGCAAAGGACGAATCTACAAAAACGTATCTTGAAGGGAAAATTTTACTGAAATTGAATATATATATATATATACATATATATATATATATATATATATAGATAGATAGATAGATAGATAGAGAGAGAGAGAGAGAGAAAGAGAAAGATATGTAGATAGATAAATAGATAGTGAAAGAAAAGAGAAAGAAGGAAAGAAACAAGGAAAGAAATTGAGAAGAAAGAGCCTTCGCCAAGTAATTAAGAACAAATTGTAATATAAAGCAATGACCGAATCTATAGAAATGCACTTCTGCGAAAATTTTTCTTTTCATTTTTCTTTTATTGCTGATCTGAAGATCTTAATCGATACTAATCTATTTTAAGAAAATTAATGACAAAGACGAAACAATCATTCTGGTGTCGCGTTTCGTCCTTAAGGTCTTCATCCAAATAAATTAATGTTTCCGTTGACGGGACGTGAAATACACACAAAGGAATGAGACGCTGAGAATTTTAAATTTAAGGGAAAATTCTCCACTTTGTCATAATTTTCTGTTTATAGAATTTTTCATCTTTTTTTTTTTTTTTTTTAATGGATGCGCTTATTTGAGTAATTTCTCTGTCTTATTTAATTAAGCTCTATTAACTATAATTACCGGCCTGAATGTACGAGAAATTTCGTAGAAAATATGCGTCCTCCGACAGGAATCGAACCTGTAACCCTTAATGGGAACTGTCATTTGATCTGATGTGCTGTTACCCATTCAGCCAAAAACGAAATTTTCCGAACATTCAGACCGGTATATGCTATTAAAAATAACGTATAAACAGAATATATATAAATATATATATATATATATAATGTATATTTGGGCAGAAATCATTCTAAAAACATGTTTCGTTGAATATGACATTGTCTCTATTAAAATAACGTATAAACAGAATATATATATATATATATATATATATATATATATATATATATATATATTTATTATTCGGACTATTGTCCTCATCTTTGTCGCCATATTTATCACAACGTTTCGGCCGTTGTACGCTCCGGTCTTCTTCTTCAGGTGGTTGGAATTTCGAACTGAACCCTTTATTTCGCTCACTGGGGGTAGACTGTTCTAGTTCCACGCGCCATGTTTGATGGATGTCAGTTATCAGTTATCTCCTGTTAATTTCCCTCTGAAAGTTCTCCACTGCCTTAACCGGGTATTGAACTCACACTCTTTGGGTCCTGTCACTGGATCGAACCAACGCCTTTATCCACTGTGCCTTGAGGCTTTTTCCTGATGGATTGTTTGAGTGAGATTACTTTCCTACAACTCTTTTACCAATTTATTGAAATTAATATTTTTTAAAAGGTTAGATATTAAATTTTTAAAATGAATACAAAAACAAACAAATTATTCTGAATAGACACAATCATTTTAAAAATGCTTGGGTTGGGGGATCATAAAAAATTGTACTTAGCTATCTAATTTTGTAAAAATTATACATGCTTTCAAAAATATTCTGTTGAATTACTTTTTTATTATTAATAAAATTTTACTAAATTTAAATTTTCAAAATAATGTTTATGCTTTCAAAATATTTATATTATATTATATGTAATTTTTCTATTGTAGACAGGACATGAAAGACGGTTCAGAACTTTAAATCTCTATCTCTAAAAGGCAGGATGTGTGTGTGTGTGTGTGTGTGTGTGTGTGACGAATGCACAGCCGCAATTTTCGACAGATTTGCACCAAAATTTACATGCACATGCTCCAAGTTAGCGGGAATGCCAACACCGACATTGCATTTCCCAACTCTCATCGATCGTGGAAATAATCGATTTTTTCATGCTTTTACGACAGTTTTCATGTAGTTTGCGGCCATTTTCTACTGGCCAGAGTGAGAGCCAATAGCTGGCTGCCACGAATAAGCAGGAAGATTCTATTGGCCAGCATGAGAGCCAACAGCTGACTGACACGAATGTTAACTAGCATGCTAGCATGCAAAAAAATATCGATAGCTGCAATCGTCACAAGTGGGAAAAATTTAAATCTGCATGGCACTTTACTCTAATTGGCTAATTCTCTTGCTTAAACTCAACGTTGATTCTGATTCCACAGAACTGGGTGGGTGTGAAAAAGTATTTGTTGTTAACATTCTTTTTTTCATTTGGTTTTTCCAGTTACGAGTCCTTTTTTAAAGCTGATCATTTTGTGTTCATTTTGTTTATTTCTTTTTTCGTAACAGATTTAATGTTTAGTATAGAGCTTAGAAAAATTCTCAGTGTGAGATAGGCAAGAAGTAAGGAATGTAGCAACATCAGCACGGCAAAGGGCACTCCTTTAAAGGCAAGGACGGGCAAAAATATTTTAAGTCAAGTGATAGCGATTGGTGTATGAGTCGTACGATTTTTGAATCAAGCACGGGCAACGCCGGGCCATGCTGCAAGTATATATATGTGTGTGGGTCTGTATGTGTGTGCGCGCGCACACACAACATTTAGAGGTCTGGTTAACAGGGTTAAATTGCTGTTATTGAACTACAATCTTCACATGATTTTTGTATTTCAAAAACAGTAATTTAACCTTGTTAAATAGACTCTTCCTCTGTAGCTAAATGGCATAGCACGTCAGGCTATATGTCAATTCCGTATACGATACAGGTTCGATTCCTGTTAGAGGACGCATATTTTTCTTTGAAATTTCTCGGACATTCAGGCTGGTAAATGTATATTATAAACAGAACATTTACTTAAATATTTGTATCTATAAAAAATAATGTATAAACAAAAATTATATTAAAATAATTGTCACGTTTAGTCCATTTCATAATATATATATATATATATATATATATATATATATATATATATATATATATATATATAGAGAGAGAGAGAGAGAGAGAGAGAAAAAAATTGATGTCTCTGTCATTATTTTTTACTTTACTGACAAAAAATAATTAAGCGTAAAATACCTTTTTTTTTTAAAATATCACTAAAAGAAAAATAATTACTGGTCTTAATTTGATAAATTACATAGTCAATATATTTACTTTAATAAATAGTGAAATGAACATCCCGTAATTATTTTCTTTAAAAAAAAAGATTTGTACATAATTCCCTTCAACTATCTGACATTAAACTTCACAATCTCATTCGTAAAAAGGGAGACCTCCAATCATACTCTTGAGAAATCTAGACCCCTGACTCTTTGCAATGGCATCAGATTGATTATCAATTCAATGAATTAACATGTTATTGAATTTCCACTTAACAATGAAACCGAAAATAAAGTTATTTCTCCTGAGCAACGCCGGATATCCCTGCTAGTATTTGTATATGTCAGGAACAGTATTGGGGAAATTGTATGACAAAGTGAAAAAAAAAAAGTTTATTTCTGACGCGTTTCGTCCTTCAAGACTTCCTCGTGGTAAATTTTGTTATGTTGCTAGCAATACGCATGCGCAAGTCAGAGAGGTGCTGGGAATTTTAGATTTTTTTTTATCTAGTCGAATTCATTTAGAGTATTTTTTTCTTTATATCACTTTTGTTAGTAGGTATTACACACTGTGATGTTAGATCTGATAGGAATGGTGAAATGTTGTAAGAGCCATGACACAAATTTACTGTAGATAACCTTACGATTAAGGAACTCTCTAGAGACTTACGTCGTAGGGAATTATTTTTTCCTTTGATAGGAGTAGCATTTTTTTATGTCAAAATTGTGGTCATTTCTTTACGGTGGGCAACCAACGCATTTAACGTATTATTTTGTAAAATGTCCCTTTTGTCTTCATATAATGATTTATTTATATTCCTTATGTATTATTTTTGACATTTATTACAAGCGATGGAGTAAACCCCACCTTCAGATTTTAACTCACTGTTTTCTTTAGTATTGACTAAGTATTTTATTATTCTGCATGTAATAGTGACGACTTTTATGTTGAGTTTAGATAGATTCTTTTTGATTGTAGATGTGATAGACGTAGTAGTCGGGATAATATATATATATATATATATATATATATATATATATATATATATACACAAGAGAGTGAGAGAGAGAGAGATAGATAGATAGATATTGTTTTTCATTAGGTTTCTGAGACAGGATTAATATTTTAATGAAAGGAATGAACTTACTGTTAACTGTAGACATATTCACCCTTTACCTTGCAATATGAGTAGTAATATTATGGATGGTAATAGAACGGTATTTTAAGTTTCTATTATTATTATTGGTTCTTTATTTATACTCACGTACCTATATTTTTGTAAACGGACCACCGAAGTTAATTATAACCTACTCTTATTTGCTAGCGATTTAATCTGCCATAGATTGTCAAGCTGATATTGAATCGTTGTGATTGTTTATGCATTAATGTTGCATAGACTCTGAATTCGTTATGGTTATCTAGGTAAGCATGTACGTATGTATATTTGTATATTGTTTCTACATCTGTGTATATATATATATATATATATATATATATATATATATATATATATAGCAAAAAGTATTTAACACATTGTTTTTTATTTGATATCTCAAAAAATAACAGGTCAATTTCAACGAAACTTATAGGAAATATTTAAACGAACATTGTCGATCAAAACATAGAAGGAAAATTTAAAACCACTGTTTTGAGAAACATTTATTAACAATAAAAATGTTAAGGGATATACAAAAATCGCTCAAGATTTGAATTTGCTTGTGAGTACAGTTGGTGCTGTTGTTCATTTTTGGAAAAATTCGATACTATCGAAAACATTCAAAGGAGTGGAAAAAACTCGTTGAAAACACAACTATACTTAAATATGAAACAATAAACAAAAGCTAAAAATTCTTGAAGCTATATACATAAAACAGTTGAAACCTAACTAAATAAACTATGAAATCTCCACAAATATTCTTAAATATCTATAATTGATAACAGAAGCCATTGGTTTATACCAACGGTTTACCATACTTAATACTTCTCGTTTTCATTCTCGTGTGGTCATGTGTGACGTCACGAACTGCGATACGATTTTCGCTTCCGCATCTCGTATACGAGTGTTTGTTGTTGCTTTGAAATTTTTCAAGCAACAAAAACAGACTATCATTATAGTTTGGGTCGTATATTGTTTGATATTTTGAAATGTAATTGTCATCTTTGATAATGGCTTATGTAAGCCGAAAGCTTAGGATTAAAACATGTATCAATATGGTGATTTCCTTTCGTCTTTCAATGATAATGTTATTAAATCATCAAACAATATAAAAGAAATTTACTTAAAATAAATAGATAAAACTTCTCTATATTATTTAATGAAACATGTATCAATGAAAAGTTGCTGCTTAAATACAATCAATATATATATATATATATATATATATATATATATATATATATATATATATAAGTATAGGATTTGTGTATACGGAATTAATTCCAATAACAAACAAATACTATTCTTAAAAGAGTGCTCAATACAGAGTAAATTAATATATAATTTATTCTAAAATTATAACATAAATATGTTATAAAATCACTACAAAAATAGCCATTTTGTTTCAACACTTCTGGTGTCTTATCAAAAAAATATAATATTATAACAAAATGTCTATTTTCGTAGTGATTTTATAAATTTTTTTATGTTATAATTTTGAATAAATTATAATAAATTATATATATATATATTTTATATTATATTATATATATATTTTATTATATATATATATTTATATTATATTTATATTATATATATATTATATATTTATATTTATATTATATATATATATATTTATATATATATATATATTTAAATTATATATATTTATATTATATATATTTTTGTTATATATATATATTTATTTTTATGTTATAATTTTCGAATAATTTTATAATAAATTATATATATATATATATAAGTTTACTTTCCTCCTCAACTTTTATCTCTGTTAAATTACATAAACTTAATACTACCCGTCAAAATTATAAATTTTCTTTTCATTTTTTGTTTCACCTTTTGGAAGTGATGTCTGATGATTCAGCGTCCTTTAAAAGGTCTCTGGTGAAATAAACTATGACAATGGAGCCTTAAAAAAATCTGTTTTTTTAATATATATATATATATATATATATATATATATATATATATATATATATATATATATATTTCTGATTTAAAGTAAATCATTCATCTTAGAATGATTTAAAAATAAACATTTATATGCAATATTTAAATTTTTTCTTTTCCCACGTATCAAGACTTAATCGAAACGCTTGTTTTTTTTTTCAGTTTTTATAAGGTCTCCTGAAGATACGCCCGCAACTGATTCGAAAGAATGTTATCTTTCGTTCGAATATTCTCAGGCGTCTTCATAAATTCACTAATTTTAATGCATTTTTCATTCGTCGCTTATAAAAAAAAAAAATAAAATAATTTTCAAAAATAATTTTGCAGAAAATCAAGCAAAATAAAAATCCAAATTCAATTTTCGTTCAACGATTTATGAGTGAAAATAAAATTTTAATTGTGCAATCGACTGATTTCGGTAAAATGAAGTTAACACCAGAAATAGTGAATAACAAACAAAGAGAAAAATCTCGTCCGATCTCGCATGCACGGGATTTCGCTCGTTGTTTAATACATAAATAAAATTAAGGACATTACTTTTCTACTTTTTTTTTTTTTTAATTCGGAGAAATATTTCCCATTCAGAAAAATTTGGGACCAGTGTCGTGTTTTTAATACATAAATAGAATTACTAACGATTTTTGGAAAAAATGTTTTGTCTGCTCTGAAATTATTTGAAGAGTACATTCTCGTAAGAATAAACAAAATTATGTTTTTTCTTTTTTTAGATAGAAATATCATGTCCTTCTCTGACCAATGACATGTTACACTCGTAAACAAAATTATGATGATTTTTTTTTTAGTGTCGAGTGTAATGGAACAAAAACGCTTAAAAGTCTCGTTGTCTTCTCTTAAATTAATTTAAGTGGTTAATGTAATCATTTTAAGAGCCAAAACTCTACGAGTTTTTCGACAATCACGAATCATAACTGGACTTCATTACCAAAGACAGTTACAAGGGAAACCCCGAGAAAGCAACATTAGTTAAATTTAAATTATATTTTTCTCGGTATGGCAAGTGAAATGTATGCAGTTTAAATGAAATCTACGCAGATTAAATGAGATGTATGCAGATTAATCAGAAAGAAAAAGCCTAAATTAAGTTACATCCAAAACGTTGTCCTGGGTAAGACGATAAACTACATCAGGCAGCAAGGCCTTTGCTCGAGAGGTTTTGAGGAGCGTGGAACCACCTCTTAATTGCTGATGTTCCCAGGTCCATTCTGACCGTGTGGTAACACCTGTTAGGGTCCCATCTATGGGCAAATTCTTAATTCCCAAACTGGGGTCAAAACACTATGAAAGTATAAAAATAGTAAATAGAATAAAAATATTGCCAGCAATAGATTTTTGAAAAAAAAAATATTACCAGCAATACATTTGACTCTCGACAAAAACCTTTACAAATATACGCCAATGAAACCTGATCTACAAACTGCTCTCTTACAAAGAATACACATTCTAGTCATATGAAGCTATCTTAAAAATCTTGTCGACATTAAATAACTGTCATTGGTCCTTACCTATAACCACAGAATGAACTCTTCCTAACACTATGTATGCCACGCCTCTCAAGAGCGAGGGTCGAAGCAAGCCGAGCTTCTCGGCTTGACGGTCGAACTCTCTGCTTTTGAGCAGAAAGGAAGCCGGACGAGGTTCCGCCGAAGGGCAGAATCTCGTTCGGGGAGAATGACCTACCCGATCTCGTTTTTACGAGTTCTACGGGCATTTTTTGGCTGAGCCTAAGGGCTCAGGAAACCCACGATAAAAACGACCTTGTGTCACATGCAACCCTCGTGGGGGGTGGCTAGATACCGAATCAAGCCGATCTTTTCGGCTTGACGGTCGAACTCTCTGCTTTTGAGCAGAAAGGAACCCGGACGAGGTTTTGTTAATAAGGGCAGAATCTCGTTCGGGGTGAATGACCTACCCGATCTCGTTTTTTACGAGTTCTACGGGCATTTTTTTGGCTGAGCCTACGGGCTCAGGAAATCCACGATAAAAAATGACCTTGTGTCACATGCAACCCTCGTGGGTGGGTGGCTAGATATCGAATCAAGCCGAGCTTCTCGGCTTGACGGTCGAACTCTCTGCTTTTGAGCAGAAAGGAACCCGGACGAGGTTCCGCCGAAGGGCAGAATCTCGTTCGGGGTGAATGACCTACCCCGATCTCGTTTTTACGAGTCATACGGGCATATTTTTGGCTGAGCCTACGGGCTCAGGAAACCAACGATAAAAATGACCTTGTGTCGCATGCAACCCTCGTGGGGGGGTGGCTAGATACCGAATCAAGCCGAGCTTTTCGGCTTGACGGTCGAACTCTCTGCTTTTGAGCAGAAAGGAACCCGGACGAGGTTCCGCTGAAGGGCAGAATCTCGTTCGGGGTGAATGACCTACCCTGACTTCGTTTTTACGGGCTCTACGGGCATTTTTTGGCTGAGCCTACGGGCTCAGGAAACCCACGATAAAAACGACCTTGTGTCACATGCAACCCTCGTGGGGGGGGGCTAGATACCGAATCAAGCCGAGCTTCTCGATTTGACGGCCGTACTCTCTGCTTTTGAGCAGAAAGGAACCCGGACGAGGTTCCGCCGAAGGGCAGAATCTCGTTCGGGGTGAATGACCTACCCGATCTCGTTTTACGAGTTCTACGGGCATTTTTTTGGCTGAGCCTACGGGCTCAGGAAACCCACGATAAAAACGACCTTGTGTCACATGCAACCCTCGTGGGGGGGTGGCTAGATACTGAATCAAGCCGAGCTTCTCGACTTGACGGTCGAACTCTCTGCCTCTGAGAAGAGAGGAACCCGGACGAGGTTCCGCCGAAGGGTAGAGCCTCGTTCGGGGAGGTTGACCAACCCGATCCCGTTTATACGGGTTCTATGGGCATTTTTTGGCCGAGCCTATGGGCTCGAGAAACCCACGTTAAACTCGGCCTTCTGCCATATGCAACCCTGGTGGGGTGGGGGGGG